AAGTAAAGGATGATAAAAAAAGAGGATTCCGGAAGACAGATAGATGGCGATTGATATTGCATTTGTATTTCTGAAGATTGCATTTGGCCTGGAAGCAAGAAATCGGAAAGGTGTTCCACAGGTGAGAAGTGCAACAAAGGGAACAGAATATAGGTGGCCGTTGCAGCTGGCTAGTTCAACAGTAAAACAGTGAGACCTAACTGCCAATCTAGTAGCGCGCTTAAATTAATGTAGCCGAGATACTAGGTATAAAAAAAAGCTCATCAGAACAGTTGCCATGAAAATATTTATAGAGAAGACAGCGGGAAGCCATGTCTTGTCGATGAAAAAATAACTGAGGTCTAAATGCCAGGTTAGGATCAATTATATTACAGAGCATTTTTTTCTTAATTTAGGCAAAAGACAGATATCAACCAAAAAAACATAGATGGGCAAAGTTCTTCGTGAGATATAGGATGTGCTGTTTTAGAATTATTACTGGATTTCCCAGAGACATGGTACATCAAGAAATTTCGTTATCAGCCATTTTTTGTCACTTGATACGCTTATGTCAATACGAGTCTAAACTGTGCCTACTGTGGATAAAGGCGTTTGTGAGATCCAGTGAGAGGACCCAAAGAGTTGTGAGTTCAATACATGGTTAAGGCAGTGGAGAACTTGGAAAGGAGAATTAACATCAGATAGCTGATAACTCACATCCATTTGATATGGCACGTGGAAGTAGAACGTTCTACCCCAGCGAGCGAAATAAAGGGTTCAGTTCGACATTCCAACCACCTGAAAAAAGCCCGAGCGTACAACGGCCGAAACGTTGTGATAAATATGGCAACAAAGATGAGGACAATAGTCCGAATAATGTAAATAGTGTACATAATACCTCATCTCAGAAATATAGACAGATACTGAAAGGCTGAAACGTTGTGATAAATATGGCAACAAAGATGAGGACAATAGTCCGAATAATGTAAATAGTGTACATAATACCTCATCTCAGAAATATAGACAGATACTGAAAGGCCGAAACGTTGTGATAAATATGGCAACAAAGATGAGGACAATAGTCCGAATAATGTAAATAGTTTTCGTAACACGTGATCTCAGAAATATAGACAGATACCTCTATGGGTTATTTAATACGGAAATGTAAATAATTTGAACAAGACTTGAACTAAAGATCTTTTGATCGAAATTAAACTTAAAACTTTAAATTAAAATGTATCTTTTAACATAAAAATTTATTTCTGGCCTTTTACAATAATTTTTTTTCTTAATTTCATAGTGTTTTCTTTGGGGTTTCACTAAATGCTTATAGCTGTGACACTAACAGGTACTACTCGACCGGGTCAGGTTGGACCCGTGAAAAACAGTAATTATGAAGTAGTTCTACGGTATTCCCTTCTTCAAATCTCCGGATCAGAGGAATGCTGCCGGATGTAGTTTGTCATCATACCCAGGAATTCATGCCAAGAAGTTAGCAGATTTTTTTTTTCTTTCCTGTTTTTGATAATAATGTCTGGACTATTTGTTTGTATTGTTCGATCTATTTTGATTAAAAAAAAAAACAAGATGTTAATATCAGCTCGCTCAACGACAGACTCCCAATGATGTTTCTACTAGTTTGCAGTTGTTTTTTTAGGGTTTTTTTTTATCCCGTACTGATGACAGCTCTTCCAATGCAGATATTGACCTACCCTGTCATGACGGTTTTTTTTTTTTTTTTTGGGGGGGGTTGTCTTTTGTTTTTTTTGTTTTTTTTTCATATTGGGTGTTAATATTGAGCATCCTGAGATTAGATGATCAATAGTTTCAATGTATTGGTCACAAAACCTGCATTTTGGGTCCGTGCTCTTATGCAAGATATTAGCTTGCTAGTTGCGTGTAAGGTGACACTGTTTCTGCGGAAGAAGAATAAATCCTTCAGTTTTAGCCTTAATTCCTGAACTTCCTAGCCACTAGAGGCTTACGGTTTGATCTATATCAGCATTTTTGTTTCGGAGAGCGAACTAGCTATGTAGAGGCTTTTTGAGTCCGGCTTTCTCCTATCAGGGATTTTTTTTCTTTTTACTTATCTTTTTCGCTTCTTGTTTCAGTTTTTACGCTGGATTTGTGACAATTGTATCTACTTTAACGCTATTTTCAGGATTTAATCTCAATTCTCTTGAATATTTGTGGGCTTCTAGTGATACCGAATAAAGATTTTTTTTTTCATGCTCTATTAGGAGTTTAACATCCAATCTTGTACAGCTGCAAGATACTTTAAAGTCCCATAGATGAAATGTTGTAAGGAAATTCCAGTTGAATCATGTCCCTACCCTCACTCTTCTTTGCCAGATACACAGAGTCGACATCGCCCTCAAGGTGGTGCATTCTATTGCATGAGTTATTTGATAATTTTTACATCAGTTTTCTTGAGTTCCTTACATTACAATGTATTATATTGAAGTTATATGTTACAACTGAGGTAGCAAGAGTGTTGTTGTGTTTTTTCAAATTAATTATTTTTCATTATTATTATTATTATTAGTTGGTTGGTTGTTTTGTTTGATGATATATCAAAACCTCAGTGGGTCATTTAATGCCAACAAAATTTTGAAATAGATTCATAGCGATAATTTGCTAAAAAAAAAAGTTGTGTATGTATGCATATATATTTCATCTATTTTTGAGTACAATCCAACGTCTTTTAGGAAATTTACAATCTTGGATGGTTTTTTTTTCGTAAAAAGTTTTTTAAACTAATCACTTCGTAATTATTGCTGGTAATATTTTGTTTTGTCAAAAATCTATTTCTGATAATAATTTTTTCCTTCAAAAATGTGTTGCTGGTAATATTTTTTTCAAAAAATGTATTGCTGGTAATATTTTTTTTTCAAAAAATGTATTGTTGGTAATATTTTTTTTAAAAAAAAAAATTGCAGGTAATATTTCAAAAATGTATTTGTTGGTAATATTTTTTTTGCATTGCTGGTAAAATTTTCTTTTCAAAAATGTATTGCTGGTAATAGTTTTTTTCTTCAAAATATATTTGGTAATAATTTTTCCAAAATATTTCTGGTATTAAAACTATTTTTTTTAATTTTGTTTTTTCAAAAATTTGTATTGCTGGTGCTACCACCCAGGAATGGACCTTTTTTTCACGCTCCTCAAAACCTTCAAAAATTGTCTTACCCAGGACGCGGATGTAGTTTATATACCGAGGGATATTATTATTATTAGTAGTAATTTTTTTAATTGAAGCACCTGGATAAACCAGGAGACTTTTTTTCACGGAATTTTGGTTATCTTCGATACAATGGTTGTTTTTAAAAACAACATTTAAAGAAAAGTTAGGAATATCTAAAGATGATGCGAATATAATTTAAACTTTTAAATAATTTTTAGATTCATCACTTTTATGCATAAATTCAGGTCATTCGGGTGTTTAAAAAATCTTGTGTGGAAATAATACGATTTTTTTTTATTTTAGGATAAGCAAGAACGATTACAATACAACGGTGAGCAACTGGCGCGTTTGAATGACATTGCAAATGAAGAAATAAACAAAATGAAAAAACAGACATTTATTTCTTGGAATATAAAACGATTTTTTTAATTTTAGGATAAGCAATTACAAAACTACGTTGAATAACTAGCCCATTTGAACGACAATGTAGATGAAAAAATATATTTATTTTAGAATTTAAAAGATTTTTTTTACCATGAACAAATACAATACTATAGTCAAATATTAAAGAGATATTTATTTTTTTTTTAATTTTTTAAGCAAATAAAGTGAACAATTAGCTCGTTTGAATTACAGTGTAGAATTAAAAATATAACGATAGCGATTTTTTAAAATTTTAGAATAAAGAATTATAGTTTGAATTAGCTCGTTTGAAGTGTAGAATTTAAAATATGTTTATTACTGCTCAAATATAGCGATTTTTTTTTTTTTTTTAATTAGAAGAAGCTCGTTTGAAAACAATTAAAATATGTTTATTACTGCTCAAATATAGCGATTTTTTTTAAATTTTAGAATAAACAATTACAGTACTACAACGAGCAACTAGCTCGTTTGAATTACAGTGTAGAATTAAAAATATGTTTATTACTGTTCAAATATAGCGAGTGTTTTTTTAAATTTTAGAATAAACAATTACAGTTCTATCTATCTATCGCAGTCCTTTAAATTCTACCCCTCCAGCAATCTGTCGATCTCAGTATCTCTCTTATTTTCTGTCTCCGACAGAACGAGCAACTAGCACGTTTGAAAGACATTGTAGTTTTTTTTTTTTTTTTTTTTGGTTTCTGGGCAAATAAAAGGAGTCGTCAGCAACTGGTGATTTTGAATGACAATATAGATTAAAAAAGATATTTATTTCTGGGCAAAAATCGACTAGTAATTTCTTTAAACTATAGAAACGAATACCTCGTTTGTATGGCATACGAGTTCTATAAAATCGTGTTTATTTTTTTTTTCTTTTATTAGGCAAAATAATCAACAGTTAACGTGGCGACATTAAGATGACTCGTCTGCAAACGGCCATTGCTCATTGCATCGGAATTAGATATTATTTCACACGTCATGCATTAAATTTGCTTTCTCTCCACGTAACCGTCCTTGTCCGTTAAGCTGTTCTAATCGTTTGAAGATATCGAACACCTCTGGATGAAATCATTTAATCGAAAATGCCATCGTTAGTTGATGACAGAAGTAATAAATAAATGAAAATAAAAACTAAAATAAATATAATTATAAATAAAGAATAAAATAAAATAATGATTAAAATAAAGAATAAATATACGTATTGGATAAAAAGTTAAAAAAATATAAATATTTAAAAATAGAAAATAAAATGAATATATAAAATAACAAATAAAATAAAAGCAACAACAAAAAATTTATATATATATATATATATATATATATATATATATATATATATAGAAAAGAATAAAAGAAAATAAATATGAAAAAATGTCTATTTTTTTTCAGTCCAAGACGATTACCAAGATTTGTATCAATCGGACAATTTCATAATAGATAGATAGATAAGGGCGAATGAACCAACTGAGACAGCCAAAAAGAGAGAGAATTAATGTACTGAGATCGATAGATTGATGGAGAGGTAAAATTAAAGGACTCACATAGATAGAAAGGCAATGTTCAGTTGATATATTGTCAGTACTAAAGTTAGAATCTCACTTCGTAGATAATCGATTAAATGATAGATAGATAGATAGATAGATAGATAGATAGATAGATAGATAGATAGATAATAAACAGATAGGGCGAATGAACAAACGGGAATAGACAATAAGAGAGATACTGAGATCGATAGATTGGTGGAGAGGTAGAATTTAAAGGACTGCGATAGATAGATAGATAGATATGATTGAGATGTATATATATATATATATATATATAGAGAGAGAGAGAGAGAGAGATGTGATTGAGATAGATAGATGTGATTGAGATAGGTATATAGATAGATGTGATTGAGATAGAGATAGATAGATGTGATTGAGATAGATAGATATATAGATAGATATGATTCAGATACATGTGATTGAGATAAATAGACATATAGATAGATAGATCTGATTGAGATAGATACATTGATGTTATTGATAGATAGATTGATATGATTGACATGGACACATTGATGTGATTGAAATAGATAGATAGATAGATATGATTGACATGGACACATTGATGTGATTGAAATAGATAGATATGATTGACATGGACACATTGATGTGATTGAAATAGATAGATAGATATGATTGACATGGACACATTGATGTGATTGAAATAGATAGATATGATTGACATGGACACATTGATGTGATTGAAATAGATAGATATGATTGACATGGACACATTGATGTGATTGAAATAGATAGATAGATAGATAGATATGTTTGACATGGACACATTGATATGATTGAAATAGATAGATATGATTGACATGGACACATTGATGTGATTGAAATAGATAGATAGATAGATAGATATGATTGACATGGACACATTGATATGATTGAAATAGATAGATAGATAGATAGATAGATATGATTGACATGGACACATTGATATGATTGAAATAGATAGATATGATTGACATGGACACATTGATATGATTGAAATAAATAGATATGATTGACATGGACACATTGATGTGATTGAAATAGATAGATATGATTGACATGGACACATTGATGTGATTGAAATAGATAGATATGATTGACATGGACACATTGATGTGATTGAAATAGATAGATAGATATGATTGACATGGACACATTGATGTGATAGATAGATAGATAGATAGAACTACTACTTCTACTACTACTACCAGTCCTTATACCAGACAAAATTAGATAGAGCAATGTCTGGTGTTTTAGAAGTCCTTCTATAAAACACTACAACAATAAACACATAAGTGCATATCAACCTTCTGTAGTAAGCTTGTTATCATCTGGCCTCTCACACCCCTCCACACAGCATAGTTTGAATATTTCCAATAATCACTTAAATGAATAGCTAAATTTTACATAAATTGTGTCTTCGTCTTTTTTTAACGTTTCCCGCCGTTCCCATTGATGCGATTTGGTAATGCCACTGAGACACAATGGACTACTCAGTGCAAAACAAGATGAGGAAACATTAGCTTTGAGAAAGGACAATAAATGAAACAGGATCTAGGAAGATAAAAGATGGCGATTGATGTCGCATTTAAAGTTTTGAAGATCGAGTTCCGCCAGAAAGAAACGCAAGCAAATCAACTATTTGAATACAACTAACATTTGTATTTATTTCGACAGTCAAATGGTGAGGCCTTGTTGCTTGTCTAAGCGCCTGCACTTGCAGTACCAACGAGGAAAGCCCATTAGAACAATTGCCAATGAAATGTTTATAAAAAAAAAAGACAAAGAGAAAACGCGTCACAACGATAGGAAAAATCGTTGAGATGCAATTACAGATTCTCCTTTTGCTTTTGTCGAGAATCTAAAGATATATAACTGGTGTGCCAGACCTGATTTGGCAGCCATATTTAATGCACGGACGAATGGCAGATATATAAATGTGCAACATTGATTCGGGGGAGAAAAAATAAATTGTCTGTCACGACATAGTGAATCAACTTTCTTTGCAGCAGTCCCAAAAATCAATTCAGTATAATCACTCCATTACATGTTAGTAGAAAAACGTGAGCTCTCCCGGGGATTATAATCCACCCATCTGATGGAAGACAAAAATGGTTCTCTTTGATAATTAAAAGACAGCAGTTTCGTTTTGCTGCCGTTAAAATTTACAAGCCATTTCTTGCACCAGTTAACAACTGATTAGTGGTCATGATCGGGAGTAGCTACCAGTTCTACTTTTCCGGATCTATCAGACTTACTCTTAAGACAGCAGGCAAATAACAGTGTCATCTAGTACTGCTACCACTACTATTACTAATTCTTTCTTCTTTCTTTTTTATTGAATACTATTTCTGTTACTTTTTCATCTCTTACTTTTGCTACAACTACGTATATTCCTTCTTTTTCTTTTCCTTTTTCTTCCATACCTGTTACTTCTCAACTTCTTCCTCTTACTGATTTTTTCTTCTTCTCCTCCTCCTTATCTCACTTTTTCTTCTTAGTCTTGCCTTAATATTTTTAGCATTTACATACTCTCTCTTTTTTTATTCATTCTTCTACTTTTTTCCTTCTCCAAATGTTATCTCACGTCTTATTTATTTCTTCATATTATATTCACTCATTTCTCCCACTACTCCTCACCTTTTTTCTTTTTCTTCTTCTTTTATTCTACAACTTACGTTTTTTTTTTAATTTTTTCTGTTATTTCTATTTATTTATCTTTTTTCTTCACCTGCAGCTACCGTTCTTCTTCTTCTCCTTTTTCTTCTTCTTTTTCTTCTTCTTCTTTTTCTTCTTCTTCTTCTTCTTCTTATTATTATTATTATTATTATTATTATTATTATTATTCATCAATATCCTACTATTCTTTACTTCCTGCACCAAAATTAAGGTTTATTTTCTATTTTGCTATTCTATTTTTTCATCCTTGTCCATCTTTCTTCTTCTTTTTCTTTTTCTTCTTTTTTTTTCTACTTCTTCTTTTTCTTTTTTGTCTTTTTTCTTCTTTTTCTTTTTTCTTCTTTTTTTCCTTTTCTTTTCTTATTTTTCTTCTTCTTTTTCTTTTTCTTCTTCTTTTTTCTTTTTCTTCTTTTTCTTTTCTTATTTTTCTTCTTTTTCTTCTTTTTTCTTTTTCTTCTTTTTTCTTTTTCTTCCTTTTCTTTTCTTATTTTTTCTTTTTTTCTTTTTCTTATTTTTCTTTATCTTTTTCTTCTACTCTTTCTTTTTCTTCTTTTTCTCTTTCTTCTTCTTCTTCTTCTGAATCCAACATCATTTTCCTTAAACATGAAAGTCCATGTTATCATCTCCTTCTTCCCTTTTTCTTCGTCATCATCTTCGTCATCGTCATCAAATCCAGCATCATTTTCCTTAGCCATCAAAATCCATGTTATCTTCTTCTTCATCATCAAAATCCTACATTATATTCTTAGCCATCAAAATCCATGTTATCCACTTCACTCTATATCTTCATCTCATTCTTTTCATCTTAGCTTTTAGTCGTGTCTTCTTCTTTCATTCCTTCGTCAAGTTATTCTCCTAACTTTATTATATTGTTGTTATTATTGCTGTCCTTTCCTCCTTCTTCTTCTTCTGATTTTCTTTTTTTTTTTTTGCATTTTGCAATGAGCAATGCAAATTGCTGGAAGCCTTTCAACTTACACATATGATCCGATGAGAATCACCAATTATAGTGTTAAAAGTTGAACCCAACAATGGCAATAAATGTTTTCGCTCAAGGGCCGACATCGCTCTTTTCAATTTTGAAAAAGAAAAGTAAAAAAAAAAAAAAAAAAACGAAAAGCAAAGAACAACTCTGTCGCTAGATTTACTTTTCATATCTCGTTCTATAGTCGTTCTGTTAAATGAGACTGAATGCCACCACCACCACACCCCCTGCGCTCGGATCTCACAGTTGCTGCTGACAAAACTACGATTATAGCGCTTTCCTTATCCACATACATGCAGCGAGAAGAAAAAAAAACGGCATTTTACTTGCTTCTTCTTTTTCTTGATCGTTTTTTCTCCTCCTCTTTTTTTCTTTCGTCCTTCCTTTCATTATTTCCTCTCACTACCACTGCCGAGGTTCAGCTGTTAAAAGCCAATCCTCAATGTGTTCATCGTCTTCTTCTTCTTCTTGATTTGCGACTGCATTTTTTATTCTTTTTTTCAGTATTTTCATCTATTATCTCAACTCTTTCTTCTTTTTTCTTCTTCATTATCGATTGCATTTTTATTCTTTTTTTCTTTTTCATTACTTTCATCTTTTATCTCAACTCTTTTTTCTTCTTCTTTTTCTTCATCTTCTTCTTCTTGAATATCAGTCGAATTTTTAGTCTTTTTTTTTCTTTGTGAATTCTTTCATATTTTTCTCCAAACACATTCTTCTTCCTTTTCTTCTTGATTATTGATTGTTTTTTTATTCTTTTTCTTTCTCATTATTTTTTCTTTTCTTCCAAAAACTTTCTTCTTCTCCTTCTTCTCCTTCTTCTTCTTCTCCTTCTCCTTCTTCTCCTTCTTCTTCTTCTCCTTCTTCTCCTTCTTCTTCTTCTCCTTCTTCTTCTTCTTCTTCTTCTTCTTTATTATCAATTGCATTTTTATTCTATTTTCTCATTACTTTCATCCTTTTTCTAAAATTTTTCTCCTTTTCTTCTTCTTCTTCTTCTTCTTCTTCTTCTTATTATTATTATTATTATTATTATTATTATTATTTCCCAATTCCATCTTATTCTTTTTTTTCTTTTCGCTTTTTAATTCCATCTTTTTTCTCTTACCACTTTCCTCTTTCTCTTCTTCTTGAACAATTTCGTCTTTTCTTTCTTTCTCTTTATTTTCTTCTTGTTTTCGTGTTTTTCTTCTTCTTCTTCTTCTTCTTCTTCTTCTTCTTCTATTCGTTATTATTCTTATATTTTCTCTCTATGAGTGCAACATTGTCACTTCGCTCAAAATATCTTGTTGATGTCATTGGAGATCAGGTGAGAGCAAGTCTTATCAAATCAAGCACTTAATCCCGCAGAGAATCTAGAAATGGCCTGGAACGTCCCCGGACCGGTATCCAACGCGATGTCTATCATGTTAAATGTCCTAAGCGCCAATGCGATAAATTCATCAGTTCCAAAGGAGAGGCCTTTTATTTTTCCATTTCCCTTCCGAAACAGGCACGACTTACATCTACAATAATCACTTCCTTCCTTTTCACAATAATCAAATATTGGAAGCCTCGACAGGATGAAACGAACTGTGTATTTTACTCAAATCAAAGAAATCTATTGTAGGATTTTACGATAGCACTTGCTTGATATTTACATGGCTGAGCAGAGTTTGTTACCACTGTTCGCAGGGAATGGTTTTCAATAAGTTGCAGTTGGCGTTTCTTTTTAACCAGTCTCATAAATTATTTAGTCTAAAACAGTACTATTTATTGTTTTGATCACAAATGTCTTAATATAGGAATGCATTGCAAATAGCTTACAAGGGAAATAGATTGCAAATGAATTGCTATAAAATGCATTGTTTCATGAATTATTCAGACTATTATCCTCATCATTGTTATTTTGATCACAAATGTCTTACTATAGAAAAGCATTGCAAATAGCTTACAAAGGAAATGGATTGCAAATGAGTTACTATAAAAATGCATTATTTCATGAATTATTCAGACTATTATCCTCATCTTTGTTGTTTTGATCACAAATGACTTACTATAGGAATGCATTGTAAATAGCTTACAAGGGAAATGGATTGCATTTGAGTTACTATAAAAATGCATTGTTTCATGAATTATTCAGACTATTATCCTCATCTTTGTTGTTTTGATCACAAATGACTTACTATAGGAATGCATTGTAAATAGCTTACAAGGGAAATGGATTGCATTTGAGTTACTATAAAAATGCATTGTTTCATGAATTATTCAGACTATTATCCTCATCATTGTTATTTTGATCACAAATGTCTTACTATAGAAAAGCATTGCAAATAGCTTACAAAGGAAATGGATTGCAAATGAGATACTATAAAAATGCATTATTTCATGAATTATTCATACCAGTTTCATCCTCACAAATTAATTACTACAGCAATCAATTTCTTTAATATCACGCAATTTGCAATAAAAATGCATTCCCTTAATATTTTCCCGAATAATTAAAATTGTTTTTCTTCCTTATATCTCTCTCTTAGGTTAAACTGTTGAAAGTAGCCTACTATTAAATACGATTTTCTTCTTTGGGAATTATCTTAAGGTAAAATGTAATAATCGCCTTCCCACCAAAAATTGAAACCTTTCAATATTATATGTCCCTCATAATTCCGCTGAAACCTCTCTCGTAGATATTTCAAACCTATTTTTAATTGGTTTATTCGTTTTCTGCGATTTTCAATCCTTCGCAGGTTATTTAAAGCCAGAATATATTTTTAGACTATAACAATTCTTATTTTGAAATAATAATGATTTAGTGATACAGGTTTTAGTAATCAACCCATAAGCAAGTAAAGGTGGATTCATGCCTTCCCCAATGGTTTCTGCGCGTCAATGCGTATAACGGTCCCAACAGGAATTAAAACTCGGCATTCCGATTAACAATTCCGAGATATTACATATAACACAACAAACACCTGATATTTTTAAACTGTCAGCCATCAAGGTAATGGCCAGGCTCGGGGTTTCTTAACTTCGTAGGGAAACCGGTGCTTCACTTTGGTCCGGCCGTAAATCTCAGAGATGAAGAAGGCCTTAGGAAACAGAAATGTGGCTCTAGAGAAAAATGTTGAGAATATGATGGACTGAACATCTGAGTAACGTGCATGTTTTAAGGAATCAGAAAGAGCTAAAATTTTTAAGGCAAATGATGAGAAAAGGGGGCTGGGAGAATTTGACATTCGCTAAATATTTCGAAAGCAAGATAAGCTGAAGCAATAGCGAGTAACATGTCTAACAAATTTTTATATTCATGCGTAGGGCTGTATGACCAGCCACACAATACTGGATCGAACCAATTCCACAAGCAATAAAGCGAAGATTTTGAACGCTCACCTCAAATGATCTGGTCATATAACGATTACTTGTGACACCAGAAAGCCTCGATAACTTTCAAAAACGTCATCCTCGTATGTAAATGTATATAGATATATTAAAAATTTGATCATAGAATAATTTTTTTCATTATCTATCTATCTATCTATTTGTCTACCAAACCCTTCATATCTATATATCTATCAATTTGTTCATATCTCTTTCTGCTCATATCTATCTATCTATCTATCTATCTATCTATCTATCTATCTATGGTCTACCTATCTATTTGTCGCAATTTCTTCCCATCTAGAATATATAGCTCCCCTTCCCACGAGGCTTGCATGTGGCAAAAGGCCGGTTTAACGTGGGTTTTCCGAGTCCGTAGACTCGACCAAAAATATTCCCTTTCGAACCCGTATAAACTGGTTCAGGGGCAGTCTACCTCCCCGAACGAGAATCCCACCCTTCGGCGGAGCCTCGTCCTCTATCTATCTAAATTATTCATCTATCAATATATCTGTCTCTCTGTCTGTCTATATGTATGTCTGTCTATTTAAATGTAGAATATATAAATATGTCAAAAACTTGATCATCGTATTTAAGTGTAAATATATGCAAAAATATTTTATCCATCTATATTTATTCGTATATCTATCTATCTATCTCTTCATTTTCTACCTCCCTGTCTGTCTCTCTCTAATCATTTTCTATCTATCTCTCTATTTAAATCACATCCTATCTATCTATCTATCTATCTATCTATCTATCTATCTATCTATCTATCTCTTCATTTTCTACCTCCCTGTCTATCTATCTATCTCTTCATTTTCTACCTCCCTGTCTATCTATCTCTCTTCATTTTCTGTCTATCCATCTATCTATCTATCATTATTTATCTAGCTATCTAATAACTGGAGCAGACATCCGTGACCAAGGTGTATAACATAAGATTAAAACTGAGTTTGGCCAAACTCCACTCCAACGATCTAGGACACCCTGACACTGACTGGTCCGTCTGTCCTGTATAAGGTATAAAATTTCTTAACGATTTAAAAATAATTCAGAATCATTAATTTAGATGATAAATGCACATTACTCATTACACATTCCCGGACTGACGTCGTCAGCTGACAGGAAAAATTATATTGAATCGGAGCTTAAATTTTCCGCTAGGAAAATTGGTTCCGTGTGTCGTGCGAGAAAATACATCTCGTCAAAATCGATCTTGCGCATTTATATGTCTATCGTTAGTCTTACGTATTGAATATTGATGTCACATCTGGTCTGTAGCTTCTGCTATGAATTTATAGATACTTGATATAATCCAAAATAGAATCTACAATGTTATCAGCCTTCACCTGGCATCTCAGGTTCATTCACTTTCCCAGTCTGTTCATTATCTATCTATCTGTATATATATATATATATATATATATATATATATATATATATACGCTCGCTCACACACACACACACACACACACACACACACATGTATCTCAGTCTGTGCATATCTATCCATCTATCTAAATCTCTTCCTGTCAGTCTATCTCAGTCTGTTCATATCTATCTATATTTATTTATTTATATCTATCTCAATCTGTTTATTATCTATTTATCTCAGTTTCTTCATATCTATCTAGATCTTTTCCTACCTATTCATATCTATCTATCTATCTATCTATCTATCTTAGCCTGTTCACTATCTATTTATCTATCCCAATCTCGTAATATCTATCAATGTATCTATCTATCAAGCTATCTAAATCTCTTCTTATCTATCCATCTGAGTCAGTTCATTCTCTATCTATCTATCTATCTATCTATCTATCCCAGTCGGTTCATGTAATGCAATTGGCTACAGAAAGAACCAAATAAACATGCACAAACCAATGTGAAGCAATCTCTCAGCCACATACACACACGAGTACAAAAACTCACATAATTAGACACACACACGCGCGCACACACTCACAAACATATATCTCAATCTGTCTCTTTTTCTTTCAATGTAAATATATAAATGTATGTGCACGTGTGTGAGCGTATGTATGTGTGGACGCGCGTGTGTTGACTCAGTCGGGATCTATATATATATATATATATATATATATATATATATGTTGTTGCGTTTACAATTACCTTAACATAATAAATGTTGTCAATCGACAAATGAACAGACTGTGATATCTAGGAAGAAAAAGAGAGAGTTCAACAGAATTTAATAGAGAGTAAATACAAAAACTTGATCATCGTATATAAATGTAGAATATATGCACAAATATTTAATCTCCCTCCCATCTCTCTCTCTCTCTCTCTCTCTATATATATATATATATATATATATATATATATATATATATATATATCAAAGTATATAATTGGTATACACGGAATGAATTCCAATATCCAACAATTCTAGCTTTTGTAACAATGTTTCCCCCTAGTGTAGGATCGTTAATTAATCTGAAACTTTTAAAACCATTTATTTTATTTTCAACATCATCACTTGAGAAGACACAGAGTGTGTTGAAACTAAATGGCTATTTTTGTAGTGATTTTATAACATACTTATGTTATAAATTTTTTTATAAAAATAATTACATATATGTATATATATATATATATATATTTTTTTTTCATTATCTATCTCAATTTCATCACCTGTATCTCAATTCTTTATCTGTCTATCTATCCCTTCATTTCTATCTATCTATCTGACTGGCTGTTTATCTGTCTGTCTGTTTATCTATCTATCTATCTATTTATCTATCTATTCGTCTGCCTGTTTCTCTGTCTGTCTCTTTATCTATCTGTCTGGCCATCTATCTATCTATCTGTTTATCTATCTGTCTGTC